TCAAGCAAAAAGGGTTTGTAACCAGTGTTTCGGAAACGTCTTGACACCAGCTTTAAGGATATGTAACAGAAAATAGGTGTTTCCATTTAAGATTTCAAAGTTTCACGGTGTCCTTCAAGGTCACATGAAGGTCATTTCAACATAACCATATAATAGACCACTTGATATACTAAAACTTTTGTATTGAACATTTTTTTCCATAAGCATTATTTTCCAAGATATTTGACCGTTGCCGAACTTTCTTCCATCACTGTATAAATTGTATTAGTCATGTTTCTTACGAGCTAATTAACACGTGTTTAGATTTTCTCAATCTGCAATTAATTTGAAATTGTACTTCATTGTTATCTTATCATTATTTGATTCAATTTTGTAGGAAGATTTTCTTTCATATTTGGAGTGAGTCACCGTTTTTCTTTGGTTTTTGTACTGATCAGTAAATATTTTATATTATATTGCTAATATTTTATCAGATTGCATAACATCAAATCTATAAATCTGATGGTGACTTCTCCTTAGACATGCAAGGAAGAAATTTTAATTTTTGTATTGCTAACGAGGACTCCCCCCCTAAAAATGAGCGTACAATGGTTATTTGAAGAAAGGTTTAAGATTATACTTTGCGTACTAATTACCACGCTCTCATTTGCCCTGTTTTTGGATTCTTTTTTGGTTTGAATTTGGGAGAGTCCGCAAGAAAATTACATTACTAACAAAGAAAGGGACGCAACTGTTCCCCTCCGATTTTAATGAGCTTTTAGTATGTTATTCTCCAGACAAAAATAAGCGATACGTATTTTTTAAACGTGCCCATACGCACTTTTAAGGGGTGAAACACCCTTTAGAAGAAAATCGGTTTTTCTCTTCCGAAGCAGATATCGTCGAAACTGTAAGAGATAGAAAAAAATGTTTGAAATAAAAGTTGCATGGTTTCAAGAGTACTTTATAATACAAACGAAATTGTAACTTAATGTACGCAAAATCCGGATTATACTTTGAACGAAATTATTGATATTGTTCTGGTACTTGGAGAATACCATAATAATTATCGACAAGCAGCGGTATTGTACCGTAATCGATTTCCTCATAGACGATATCCAAATCATTGTACGATTTCCAGACTTGTATTGCGTCAACGACAACGACAACGTCAACGTCAAAAACGACAAAGTCATATTAACATACCAGAAAGGGATGATCCAACAGTACTTGCCGTATTGGGAATGATAGCTATTAATCCACGCGTGTCAACGAGGCAAATCGAAAGAGAATTAGGTATTCCGAAATCAACAAGACACAGGATCTTGACTACTCATAACTTCCATCCTTACCATATCACTTTGACACAACAATTAACACTCAATCATTTTCAACAAAGACTAGAATTTTATAGGTGGGCACAAATAATGTTAAATCGTGATCGAACATTTTTCAGATTTATTTTATTATTGATGAAGCAACTTTTCACAACACTGGACAATTAAATCGACATAATTCTCATTATTGGTCTGTTGAAAACCCACGTTGGTATAGAGAA